CAATCATTCAGGGCTCCAGCAGCTGGTATAAACCCCTGGAGGACCAGTCCACCCAGCAGCACGTGGTACCTGGTTGTACCTTTTACCACCTTGCTGAGTCTCTGTTTTGCTTCATTAAGTAGGTCTTTGATAAGGACACCTCTAGCTTTGAGGACTCTGAGCCTTACTTGATTCATCAAATTGGACATCTGAATTTTCTTCTGCTGCTCAATCTTCTCTTTCTTCTCATAGTATTTCCATCATCTTCAGTCTTTGGGTTTGCACAAGCCGACCCTTTTCAATGTTGAGTTCTTCTGCCTTTGCAACTATTTCTTCTGCCTTTTCATTGGCTTCTTGTTCAACAAAAGCCATCATATGCTTAATCTGCTTTAAGCAATGCTAGGCCCGTGGGGAACAGGCTCAAGTTGAGGTTGAGGAGAGCAGTAGGAGGAATGGGTAGAGGAAAATTCGGCCACAAAACAATTATTATATTTAAGGAATAAAAGCCAAGATTGGAATAATTAGTTGGGAACTGAAAACTTTTAAAATTGATATAGTGGATTTTTTTTTTTTGAGAGAAGAGTCTCACTCTGTTGCCTGGGCTAGAGTGCCATGGCGTTAGCTTAGCTCACAGCAACCTCAAATTCCTGGGCTCAAGCAATCCTTTTGCCTCAGCATCCCGAGTAGCTGGGACTACAGGCATGTGCCACCATGCCGGCTAATTATAATATAATAATATATATATATATATATTATATATATTATTTTTAGTTGTCCAGCTAATTTCTTTCTATTTTTAGTAGAGACAGGGTCTTGCTCTTGCTCAGGCTGGTCTCGAACTTCTGACCTTGAGTGATCCTCCCACTCGGCCTCCCAGAGTGCTGGGATTATAGGTGTGAGCCACCATGCCCAGCCTAGTGGATCTTTTTTTTTTTTTTTTTTGAGACAGTCTCACTTTGTTGCCCAGGCTAGAGTGAGTCATGTGGCATCTGCCTAGCTAACATCAACCTCAAACTCCTGGGCTCAAGCGATCCTCCTGCCTCAGACTCCCGAGTAGCTGGGACTACAGGCATGTGCCACCATGCCCGGCTAATTTTTTCTCTACATATTAGTTGGTCAATTAATTTCTTTCTATTTTTTTAGTAGAGACAGGGTCTCGCTCTTGCTCAGGCTGGTTTCAAACTCCTGACCTCGAGCAATCCGCCTGCCTCGGGCTCCCAGAGTGCTAGGATTACAGGCATGAGCCACCACGCCTGGCCATAGTGGATCTTTTTAATTAAAAAAAAATTTTTTTAGGCTATTCAAGTGAAGCAGTGGGTTATAGTGGATTTAAAAAGGAAAAAAATTATGGAACTGAAAATTACAATAACCAAAATTAAGAAATGGAACAGAAAGCGTAAGCAGCATGTTAGATATAACAGGAAATAAAAATTAATAAACTGGAATACAGGTCAGAAATAAATATCTAGAATTATGCATAATAAAGTAAAATTATAGCAGATGTACAGGAGAAAATGGATGTCACAATGGAAAGGTAAGTAAAGTCCTATCAAGAAAGGAAAGAAAGTCTATGCACATATCAAAATATCACATGTACCTCATAAATGCATACACATATTCTATTCTTTTTTTTTTTTTTTTGCGACAGAGTCTCACTCTGTTGCCCTGGCTAGAGTGCCGTGGCATCAGCCTAGCTCACAGCAACCTCAAACTCCTGGACTTAAGCGATCTTTCTGCCTCAGCCTCCCAAGTAACTGGGACTACAGGCATGTGCCATCATGCCTGGCTAATTTATATATATATATATATTTTTAGTTGTCCAGCTAATTTCATTCTATTTTTTTTGTAGAGATGGGGTCTTGCTCTTGCTATAGGCTGGTCTCGAGCTCGTAAGCTCAAATGATCCACCCGCCTCAGCCTCCCAGAGTGCTAAGATTACAGGCGTGAGCCACGATGCCCGGCCTTACACATATTCTTTTTTTTCTATTTTTCATTTCTTTATTAGTGTCACATACACTGGTGCCAATAAAGCTGTCAAGTGTACACATATTCTGTACCAATAAAAAAAATTTAAAAAGAGAAAAGAATGGACATAGGTATATTTGAAGAAAAAAATGGATAAAATTTTTCAAGAATTGATGAAACACATCAAATCATAAATTTAAGAACCCAACAATTCCCAAGCAGGATAAATAAAAAGAAATCCACTGCCTAATATATTACAGTGAAAATGCAGAAAATCAGACAAAGAGAAAACCATGAAAGCAGTCAGAGTAAAACAGACAAATTATCTTCAAAAGCCTTAACACTTGGAGGATTCACACTTCCTGATTTCAAAGCTTACTACAAAGCTACATCAATCAAGACAGTGTGATATTAGCACAAAAGGAGACATATAGATTAATGGAATAGAATTGAGAGTTCAGAAATAAATCCTCACATTCACAGTCAATTGATTTTCAACATAGCTGCCAAAATAATGGCAGCTAAAAAAAAAATTCACCAAAAAGTGGAAATGACCCAAATATCCATGAGCTGATCAATGGATAAATAAAATGTGCTATACAAGGGAATATTATTCTGCCACATAAAGGAATGAAATACTGATACATGAATGAATCTTTTTTTTTTTTTTTTTTTTGAGACAGAGTCTCGCTTTGTTGCCCAGGCTAGAGTGAGTGCTATGATGTTAGCCTAGCTCATAGCAACCTCAAACTGCTGGGCTCAAGCAATCCTCCTGCCTCAGCCTCCCGGGTAGCTGGGACTACAGGCATGTGCCATCATGCCCGGCTAAGTTTTTCCATATATATTTTTAGTTGGCTAATTAATTTCTTTGTATTTATAGTAGAGACGGGGTCTCACTCTTGCTCAGGATGGTTTGGAACTCCTGACCTCAAGCAATCCACCTGCTTCGGCCTCCCAGAGTGCTAGGATTACATGCGTGAGCCACCGCGCTTGGCCCATGAATGAATCTCGAAAATATGCTAAGGGAAAGAAGCCAGACAGTAAGGCCACATATGGATAATTTCATTTATATAAAATGTACAGAAGAGGCAAATTTATGGAAAATAGCTTAGTGATTGCTTAGGGCTGGGGGAAGGGGTATAGGGGATAGGGGAATTTGGTCCATAACATCTACCTCAGTTACCCACATCTCAAACTTGAGAGTCATGCTAGACATCTCCCTGAGCAAACAGGTTCTGTCACTCCTAGCTCCTAAATAGCTTTTTTTTTTTGAGACAGAGTCTCGCTTTGTTGCCCAGGCTAGAGTGAGTGCCATGGCATCAGCCTAGCTCACAGCAACCTCAAACTCCTGGGCTCAAGCAATCCTGCTGCCTCAGCCTCCCAAGTAGCTGGGACTACAGGAATGCGCCACCATGCCCGGCTAATTTTTCTATATATATATTAGTTGGCCAGTTAACTTCTATTTATAGTAGAGACGCGGTCTCTCTCTTGCTCAGGCTGGTTTGGAGCTCCTGACCTCGAGCAATCCGCCTGCCTTGGCCTCCCAGAGTGCTAGGATTACAGGCATGAGCCACCGCGCCCGGCCAAGTACCTGTTATTCTTTTATCACAGCCTATTATTACTCCCCCAGTTCCCTCCCTCTCCTCCGCCACAGACTGTCAACTGCAGACGCCCCTCTCCCTGCAGCCCTGGAGCATCTCCGGGAACCTCCCGCAGGGACAGAGCCCTTTAAAGACAGACGTCTCCGAAGGTGGTTTCGGCCGCCGGTTGACGAGGCTTCACGGCCCAGGAATCCGCAGGCTCCTGGCGGGGTAGGGGAAGAGCGGCCCCGCCCTACGCCCAGTTCCTCGGCCCCGGCAGTGGCCGGCCCGCGTGGGAAGCGGCGCAGGCACAGTAGCACGCTGGGGAAGCGGCGCAGGCGCAGTAGCACTCTCGAGCACGTGACGCGAGCGCCGCGGGCGTCCCGGGCTGGGGCACGGCGGGGTAGGGAGTCTCTTCAGCGGCTCTTAGGGCGATGCGGAGACCTGCTTCGTTAGAGACACCCAGCTTGCCCCCAAATAAATAAGTAAATAAATAAAAGTATGTGAGGACAGGAGGAGGGAGCGGCGGGTGTCGTTTTGAGAGGTCCTGAGGCTCAGCTTGGCCCTGGCTCACCCTCTCCGCCAGAACTGGGGCACAAGTCCCGCTTTCTGGAAAGTTGTTCTGGCAGCTGTCACAGAGGACTCGTCTCCCCGGACCCGAGTCTTCATTCAGCTTCTTTCAGCTACAGCCTTAAGGCTCCAGGCGCCTGGGGGCAGCTGTGTAAGGCTGGAGAGTCTGTCACCGCCACGCTCTGTCCAGCTCAGCGCTGGGACTACGGTCCCCTTCCCTCTGGCACTTGAACCAGGCACTCTCCTAACTGGCCTCCCAGCCTCCTTCCTTTCTGGCTGCCGACTCTACAGTCTAAAGAGGCAAATCGAACATATCCTCTGCTTGAAACTGCCAGTACCCTCCCGGTGTTGGAGGCGCTAAGATCCATCCACTCTAACCCTTGTGGATGAGGCATTCGTGATGAGCTCCAAGTTCCAGCCACATCTACAGGAAGGCCACCAAAGAGCCAGGCCCTTTCAGCCTTGATGCTTGTACATAAACTGCCCCTCGCACCCTCCACTTCTATCCAATTTCGTGGCCCCAGCGGCCTTCGCCAGGGCACCCTGTCTGCCCCCACTACTCCAACCCCTGCCAGTTCCTGTCGCACTCAGAGCGTGCCCTGTACCACAACACTGATCACACCTGCTAGGTTCATGGATTGCAAACAAAAGGGGCTGTGTGTTTTTGGATATGTATCCCTCAAGTCTTACACAGCACACATAGATAGGGCTTCAATAAATGGATATTGAAGGAATCAAGACATGAGTTCCAAGGATCAGAAGTGAAGATTTAAAAATGTCAGGATGGCCTGTGGCATTTTGGGGGCTCCCCAGGGCCATGAACCCTGATCACCTTGCATCCTGATCACTAGCTAACAAGGTAACGCTCCTTTTAAAATGTTTGAATAAATTCAAGATGACAAATAATGAAGTCAAGCCCTTTAGTTGTGGTCCCACCACACAGCCCGTGGAACAGCTGCTCAGCCAGTGAGGGCAGGGCAGTGGGCCTCAGGGGCCAGTCCCTGAAGGAAATCCAGGCAAGCTTAGGAGGGTGTGTTTAGTAAGTGGTGTTAAAGACAATGAGGACGCCAAATCCAAGAGGTGTTTACTATAATGAGTGTTGGAGGAGGGTGGGGTGGGCGGGGATGGGTTCCCCCATCCAATTCTCCAGGGCTCTAGGGTGACTCATTCTTCCTTGGGCTCAAGGGTGGAGCCGATATTTGTTCCCCCAGTTGTGTCCTGCTCCCCCTGGCCCTCGGCATTCCCAGTATCTCCAGCCACTAGAGCCACATTCCTCAGATAATTGGTGTTGAAACAGTTGACCTGCTCATCCCCAGGATTCAGGTCACAACAGAAGGCAGGGTCTCGCCAGGAGTTACGTTGGGGACCGCACAGATCTTCGATGAAGGCTAGTTTCTGATGAAAGAGAAGAGTGAAACAGATGATGGTGAAGGGGTGATCAGAGACAAGATGTGGATACTTGGGTGCCCAAAGTCCCCCTTCCATCCACTTCTGCTCTCTTTCTGGATGCCTTCCTGTGGCTCACAGAGTGCAAGGCTGCCTTGCACTGCTGGATTCCTGTGGTTGACAGATGTGCACATCTGGGAATGGCAGAAGCCTGAGGCCCAGAGAAGGCATAAATAGGAACTTGGAAATAGAGGGCAGGCCAGCTCAGGAATGAAGACTTCTGGCAAGAAAAATATGTCCCCCAGTAGTCCTCATTCTTCCCGAGGGCTGGTTTGAGGTACTAAAGAGAAGTGGTAGACTGCAGTTCCAGCTCTGTCCCTCCCCCCACCCATGCATCCCTCTGGAGACTATGACACTTCCCTTCCCCCCACACTCACCTCCTCCTCGGCACAGCAGGCTTGTTCTGGAAATGGCAGTTCACAGCAGAGGGCAGTCATGTTGTGGATCAGCCCAGGAATATGTTTACTATGTTGGGGCAAAAGAGATGGGGATCAGGGTCTTTGGGCAACCTCTGGCATCAAAATGGTATTGAGATACCATGATTTTGCTCTTCCCAAGGGAGCCCCAGAAGGAAGGTTTTTGGGAAGGGAAGAGAGTTGGGGAAGAACTGGGGAAGACTCACTGCTTGGTGATAACTCTTTGTTTTCCACAGAGATGGACCATAAGGTTGGGGGTGACTCGGCTGATGTCAATGGTCAAGATGTCCCGGTCATAGTTGGGGTAGGGGGCCTGACGGGCAAAGCACTCATCGCGAGCAGGGCTAGGAGAGTGGTGGCAACACGGGTGGTGATGGGTCTTTACAGCATGCTCCTGGTCACAGTATCGATCAAGGGCATCCTCCCACTGTGGGCCAGGGAAGGGAAGTCAGAAGCCTGGACACTTGGCCCCTCCTCTCCTGACCATCTATGTCCCTTATTGCCTCCCACTATGAGATGAGGGGCTCTCAGCCCCAAGGGCCAAGAACAGAGGGCAAAGAATTAGAGGACAAGGGGGCAGCTTGGATGTGTGGGGTTGAGAGGGCGGAAGCCCAGATGAGGTTCCAAGTTAGCCATGGAAGATGAGCTGGAACAGTGGGTGGAGAGGGTCAGGTGAGGCCAGAGCTGGACGAATGGATCGACGGTGGACAGGAACATGTGTGGGGTCATGGGTAGATGAGGCCAGGAGTGCAGTATGAAGGCTTAAGATGAACAGACTCAGATGATGAACACAATGGATGGACGGACAGCTACAAGCAGACGAACAGGTGGACGTGTTCACGGCAGGGAGGCACATGGACGGACGGACCGGCAGGATCAGAGGTCGAAGATGGGCAGGCAGGCAAACAGGCTGGGGATGGGGGGCGGCTGGGACGCCCACTTACTGCCTTCCATGTACAGGTGTGGTTGTTCCCCTGGCGGCAGCAGCGCTGGAACTCCCCCTCCAGCCAAGTCAGAGCCTGTAGCTGCCTTTGGATGGGGTCAGTAGCTGGGAGGTTTCGTGGCACAGAGCGGAAGCGTCTCAGGTGGCAGATGTTCTTGACATTGACCAATGTGGGCACCCCAGGGGGAAAAGGCAGCTCGGGGCCCGAGGAAATACCAGACTGGTGGCCAGGGCAGGCCCGGAGCTGGTAGTGTGGCTGGGGAGCTTCCTCCTGGAAGCAGGAGAATCGAGCCTCCCCCCGCCGTTTGCAGCACCAGTGGGCTCGAGTCTTGACCGAGAACTCGGCCTCACAGAACCGGGTCACTGCGTCCTCCCACTAGAGCAAGAGGAGTGGATCAGCCCAGCAGCCCATGGTCCACATTCCTGCCTTCCTCTCAGGCTCCAGGAAAGGACCCTGGGCAGGCAGGTAAGAAAGAAGCAGTGGCTGTCCTCTGCTTTCCTGGCATGCTGGGGAGGCCCAGGGTAGGGTTACTGAAAGGGACCTGAGGTTCCTCCATACCCAGGCCTAGAACTCTAGCCCTTAAAACACACACACTTTCTGGGGGTTAAAGGACACTCCCAGCATCAAGAGCCCAACCCTTACCACGAGTTTTGCACAGTCTAGGCGGTTTGTGTTGCTGCGGCAGCGGCAGCAGCGGGAATATCCAGTCTCCAGGAAATTGAGGGTCTCACCCTGGCGAGTAAGGTGGGAGTAGCCAGACTGTGGCAGATTCCAGGGGCCATATACCACGTGCTGACGGTCAGGAAGGCAGATCTGGTTCAGATTGTCTGGAGAAGGTCGCCCAGGGGGGAAGCCATCCAGCCGGTGGCTCCAGCCCCCTCGGGGCCGGCCCTGTTGGCAGTGCTGGGCTGGGTTCCAAGACTCAGGATTTGGATGGGATTGGCTCATGAATGGAGTTGGCTTTTCTAGAATGGAGAAGGGGAATATGTAGAGGAATAAACAAAGGCTGGATGAGGTAGGAGAACTTGAGGTTGAGGAGAGAGGTTTGAGAGGATATAGGGGAAACGAGGAAGAAATTAATCACTTTTGGACTGAGTGACCGAAAGGAAAGGAGAATTGAGGCATGAAATTCACAGGCTCCCACATCTCCTCCGAGAGATCAGGCCTGTTTCCTGTGCTGCTGCCCAAGGCTCAGGCTCCTGGCTCCTCTCCCTAGGGTCGTGAGCTAAGGCAGGGGATGGACAGACCAAAGCTGTCACTCACCCTCTCTCTGCTTGATCGGAAGATCATCTCCTCCTGATATGGAAGAGGGGGTCTACTGGGGTATAAGGAGTAAGCAAAAGTCACATTGGGATGGGCATCTCCAGAAGAGAGGTGACCTGGCTAGTTCTCATGCACAAAGAGGAACTCAACAGAGAAAAGTGAAAATAAATGCTATTTTATGTCATTTAATCACATAACTTTATAAAATAGGTATTATTTCCTCAAATGTACAGATAAAGAAACTAAGGCTTGGAGAGGGAAGTAACTTACTTGAAGTTGCACAACTAGTACGAGGCAGAGCCCACCATTTTGCCTGGCTCCAAAGCCTATGCTCCGGGGTAAGGCCATGGGGTAAAGGTGGGTGGGTAAAGAGGAGAGGGGTGGCTTACTTTCTTTCTGTTCAATAGTGACTTGGGGAGCGGGCAGCTCTTCTTCTTGGAGAGGGATGGCTTCCTGAGGCTGAGGGAGGTCCACTGTAAGATACAGGTGAGGGCAAAAAGGAGCATGGGTCAGACTGGTGTCAGCAAGACCCGTAGTGGGACAGAGGCAAGGAAGTGGGCGAGCACTCACCTTTCTTTTTAGGGAATTGTGGAGGGGGCAGCTCTTCCTCCTGGGCAGGGATGGCTTCCTGAGGGTCAGCAGGGTGCACTACAGAAGGGAGAGGGCGTGAGCAGCCCACCCTTTCTCCTAGCCAGGGCCAGAAGAGGGGGGCGGGGCCTCTTCCCTCCTATCTGAAGAGCGGGAGGTAGGCTGGATTAGGAACCTGGGGGGGTAACTGAGAAGGGTGTGTGGTGGTCTTACCTTCCCTCTGTCCCTCCAAGGGAAGGCCATGCTGAGAGGTGTCGGGGTGATCCATAGAAAGGCTTTGGGTCATGGGTGGAGAGGGGGGTGCAGCATAGCCAACTAGAGGCAAGAGGGGAGACGGTCAGAGCCCACAGCACCTCCTGGACTCCCAATTCTATGCTGCTTCCCCAAACTCTTACCTTCGTGAAGGTGCTGCCTGAAGTGCTCAGGCCTCAGCTCCCTCTGCTCTGGAGCGTTGAGGCCTGGAGGGAGGAAGGGCAAGTCAGGAGCAACTATGGGACTTGTATCCCTGAGCAAGGGATGGGGAAGCTCTGGAGGTCAAGAGTGCAAGAGGGATAACTGAGACACAAGAAATCCCTCTGTATGGACCTGCCCTGTGTCCCCAAATCCTCCCAACCCCGAACACACCTAGGCATGACCGGCTGGGTCCTGAGAAAGCCTGTGACATTCCATAGCTCTGCCTCTACCTGGCTTAGAGGCTGGGCCTAAAGGGAATGTGACATACAGAGCCGAGGAGGGAGGCTCTAATTTCCTCTGCTAGTGTCTTTCCCTCAGGGCTTGTGGGTTGTCCTCACAGCCTCTGTGGTGATGTTGCTCTGGCTTTCAGAGGAAAAAGTCCAGACTTGAGCTGGTTGGATCCTCACCTGCCTACCTCCTCCTCCAGGCCCTTGCAATGTCTTTAAACATCTTTCTGATAAGGAGCCCTTCTAGAAGTGTAAGTGCCCCCCACTCAGCTGGTCTCAGCTCCTCCTTAGTTTAGGTCTCAGTTTAGGACCTGAGGGACTGGGACAGGCACAGGGAAGGCAATCACTTGTAGTGGATCAGCAGGCACAAAAGACTAGGAACTGGGAGGGACAATGACACAGGGCTTTACAGAGGTACAAACTAGACCTATTGACATTCTCTCAAAAGTTTCCCTCAGAAGTTCCTTGTTTTGTTCGGACATCAAAGCACATAAAGATCAGTGGCTCTGTGAGCAAAGGCAAAACAAATAAGAAAACAAAATGAAAAAGAAAAAAGCAGATAAAGAATGTGTATGTGCTAGACAGAGGGTAGGTCTGTGGATGGACACCCCTCCCCTCCTCCTCTGATCAGACAGGGATTCAGTTGGCGCTCTGTGAGTCTGCAAGGCAGATTTGAGCAGCCCCAGGGCCGCTCTTCCCTCTCTACCTGCCTAATGACATCCTCCTCAGCAGAGGTCCCTCCCTCTGGGAATCTGCCCACCCCCTCGGTTATCCACTTGACTTCGATTTGGTGCTTCTTGGCAGCAACCTTTAGGAGCCCCTCCTGTGCCCCTGCCCCTACCTCCTTGGCTAAAGGCTCCAGTGCCCCAGGCTCCCGGTAGGCCTGCCCGCAAAAGGGAGGCCAAATAGAGCATCACACTGCTGGGGATGAGCTGTCTGGCCGGCCTGGACCCAGACCCCTGCCCGTGCTGACCCCCCCACTCACCTCCCTCGGAGGCGGCAGAAGCGACAGCCAAACAAGCCAAGACCCAGGCTGCTCTGGACACAGTCCCCATCCTGGGGTAAGGTCTGGTCACTGGCCACCCAGAAGGTGGGTTCTCTCTGGCAGATCTGGATTTGAAGGGCCGGGCTGTTGGAAGCCTGCTTCTCTGGTTGTTGTTACTGCTGCTGTGAACTTCAGGGCCGCCTCTTCGTCTTATATGGCTGTCTGGTGCTATTTCCCGCCCTCCTCAGCTTCCTGCCATGACTCAGTCCCAGCTGCTCCTCCTCTGGTGGCCACTCCTCCCAAAGTCACCCTGAAGCCTCTTCAGAGGATTGAGAAGAATGGGGGTGATGGGAGGGGAGCATTCCTATGACCCCAAGAGAAACTGATTCAGAGAATCATGGAGCAAGAGATGTTTGAGCCCTTAGTCTGTGCCTCAATTTCTCTGTCTGCACGTTGGCTTCTGTGGAAAAGGGATCTGACAACCTGTTGAACTGGGGTTGGGGAAACAGGGCACTAAGAGTTGACAGTGGGGAACAGGGCAGCTATCCAAGGGAGCTCTCCTTCCATAAGAGATCTAGGCTGTCCTTTTTCAATTTCTCCAACTCTCTGGGACAAAAAGGAGAGAAGTAGAGTAGAACTTCCTTTTATTCCCCCCTCTCAGGAATCAGAAATGAAGACACGTACCCAACAGCTTCGGGTTTATTTGTTTTTTCAGTTTCACTCCCTTCACATCCAAACAGGCAGAGCCTCCCTCCCTCTGTGGGGTCCACAAACTAAGGCTCTTTTCAGGAGAGCAGACACATGCCTCCATGTGAGTTCTGAGGATTCTGGGAGACTCTAGACTGTCAGTTAGGTTGAGGTCTCCCATATTATTGGAGGCTAATGGCTCTTTTGGTCAGTCTTTGCTTCATCTGCGTAGAAAGGCTCAGAAAACTTCTTCAGCATTTGGGACCCTGGTGTTCTGTAGTTCCACCAGCCGCTGCACAGCCTCAGTTAAATCCCATTCCCCAAGCTGACGATTATCTCGGGTCCGAATATTCACTGTTCTCTTACTTTGCTCTTTCTGGCCAACCACTGCAGGAAAAGGAAGGGAAGTTTAGGAATTTCAGTGCAAATTCATCCACATGGGATATTTCCTTTTGCTATGCAGAAATTTAAGAGACCTAAATCTTTAGGAAGGGTGGGAGCAGAGCCCAGATATGGTTCAAAGAAAGGATATATTTAGCTGTATCTGCTCTCCAGTTCCCCAGTCTTCCTGAGCAGACTGGGGAATGTTCCAGCCCCTGCATGCCTTATCACTTTCCGTCAGGAGCCCAGGGGTCAGAGACACTAGAGTCAGACAGAAAAAGACAAACAGATTGAGAACCAGACAGAGAGAGAGAGAGAGGAAAAAGAGAGAGAGAGAATGTGTGTGTGTATTTGGTGGTCGTGGAGATTGGAGGAAGGGGAAGATGGTAGGGGGAGAACAAACATGTGCAAGTATGTATGTATAGGATTGTGACACCCTGTGACACCACTTGCTCTAAGTGTTTGCAGGGTGAATAGGGTGTGTAAAACTAGAGAATCAGGTAATCTGGCTAAGGAGTTTCTGTTCCTTGCCTTCAAGTTAGAGCTCTGAACCCTGGAAAATAAAAAAAGCAGGAGCATGCCAGAGCTAGAGTATTGTCCTTAAGGCCTTTCTCCTCATCCCTTAGGGCTGACTCCATCTAGGTCTAGAATAAACAAGGCTAATTAATTAATGCCTTGTTAACTCTTCCTGTCCCTTTCTCTCTGATGCTTCCTTGGTTAATTACCCTAACAGACACCAAGAGCTAGAGTGGGGTTAACAAGAAGAAAACTGTTCTGAGGGTCAGAAGTGGTTGTAGGGAGGGTAGGGGCGGTATGAAGGAAAACAGGGCTCAAATGAGTCAGGTGTTCTGAATCCTGGCTCCTACCCCACTCAGGTGATGAGCCCTGATTAACCCAAATATGCAGAGAACCAAGCTTAGTAAACTTGATAGAAAGAAGAATGCAGAGGGTGGGTGGGAGAACAGATGGCTCTGAGGTCCTAGGCTGACTCACTCACTTACCAAACTGAAAGTTGTAGTGGGCAAGCTGGGCCCGGCGGACTTTCCTGCTGAGGGTCAGTCCAGAGTCAGCATCCAGGTCGCTGGCCAGTCCTGCAGCCTGCAGGCTCTGCTGTGCCTGGGACAGAGGTTTGGTGACAGGAAGTTAGGGTACTGGAAGGCTGAGGACTACAGTAATCTGATGCCACTCATCCTCAATCCCGTCATCTGTTCCTCCTTCCCCTTCCTCAGTGCTCTCCAGTTCTGACAACCTCTCTGCATCACATCTTTACAGTGAGCCCTCCTCCCCCTCACCTTCCCCCTCCCTTTCCCCATCCCCACGACTTTTCTGTCTGTTTCCTACTAGAGATATGCTGTCAGTTATTCCCTGGACTTTGCCTGCTTCTAGCCACAAACGCTCAACTCTGGTACTGCCATAACATCAATTCTCTCTAGGAAGAAAAAATGAAGCCAACATTTCCCCAAGTCCATTTTTGTGCCAAGTACTCTATTGGCAGTGTTTAACATTTATTAATGTAACTTTCACACATCTTTACAAGGCAGAGGTCAGTCTCATTTTATTTATTTATTTTTTTGGAGACAGAGTCTCGCTTTGTTGCCCAGGCTAGAGTGAGTGCTGTGGCATCAGCCTAGCTCACAGCAACCTCAAACTCCTGGGCTCAAGCAATCCTTCTGCCTCAGCCTCCTGAGTAGCTGGGACTACAGGCATGCACCACCATGCCTGGCTAATTTTTTCTCTATATATTAGTTGGCCAATTAATTTCTTTCTATTTATAGTAGAGACGGGGTCTCGCTCTTGCTCAGGCTGGTTTAGAACTCCTGACCTTGAGCAATCTGCCCGCCTGGGCCTCCCAGAGTGCTAGGATTACAGGCATGAACCACTGCGCCCAGCCCTGGTTTAGTTTTTAGGGTCTATGGTAGAGGGGGAGCTATAGACCTATTCCATGGGCTACTGAGGGAAAAGGGGATGGGGAAAGAGTCTATACCCCTTGAACTGGAGGTCAAATCTCAAGGGCAGTTGGAAGTCAAGCTGGATTGTCCCACACTGATGAGGCCGACCCAAGGCATCGTGGAGGTGCACGTCAATCTAGAGGAGACAGATGGGAAGGCATGAGAGCAACCAGAACCAAAACCCTCCATTATCCATGCCATTCCATGCTTTAACTTACCCGTGATCCAGGCTATCTGAAGAGTCCTGTCACCCCCTGTACCATACTCTACCCCTCTACCTCACTCTGCTTCACTCGCTTTTGCTCAACAGCAATCTCCACTTAATAATGGTGTTATAATATTAGGGGACATCCATACCCTGGCTTTCAATTGTTTGAGCTCCTCATCTCAGAGACCTTCACCCCACCTGTGGCTACACCCTTCATCCTATCATCTCCCCAAAGGGCTGTACCTCTGAAAATAGTCCACCAAACACCCCACTCTGATTACTGTCTCTTGGTTTGCCAGATGTGACAATTATTCCTACTACTCACTCTTCAACCTGCAGGTTCCTTAACTCTTTTATCCTTCCCAGACCCCTCCCACCTCTGTTTCCTTCCCCATGCAGCTGTAACCATTCTCCCTAGTTCCACTTGTACCAATCATTGTTCTTCCACCACATCCCCATGGCAACCCCTGCCCTGGCAGTCCCTTAGCTTCCTACCCCCTTGGCCCTGGAATAGAATTGCTTATAGCTGCCCAACATGTCACATACCACACAGATGCAAAAGCAGAGGTTGATGCCACCCATGGAAGTTACTGTTTCGAGACTAAACTGGTCCCTTGCTGCTGCCACCAATCTTTTGGGTACACTAATCAGCTCTCTGCCCTGTTATCCTCAGGGATTTTCAAGCTTTCACTTCTCTTTCTTTTTTAAAAATGGTATCTTATCAAACAATTTATTAGACTGATTTAACATAATACACACTTTATCATTGACTATTATCTCTGTAACCCTGAGCATACTGTTTAGCCTCTCTGAAGCTTTTTCTTCTTGGTAACATAGATATTTTACTTTCCTAGTATTATTGTTGAAATTGACCGATAAAACACATTTTCATTATTCTTTCATATTTTCATTTACTATTTATTGAGCAGCTAAATAAATACCATGTGCTAGAACAGAAATTTGGGACATAAAAATGAGGAATATACACATTGCCCCATCACAGTGCAGAGCAGCTATTTAGCACCCCAAAGATTTCACCTGTATGTTCCATATAATAGTTTTTGAGTAATTTCCTCTCTCTTCGTGTCTTCATCCTACCCACTGACAACTCTCCTCTCCTCCACTCCCAAATCAGCAAATGATCCTGCCTCCTACCTCATGGAGAATTCAGATAACTGATATCATGGGATGAGAAAATACCTTGACTTCTTGTCACCACACCTGTAAATTTCCTTGCAACTACCCTCAGCCTTTTCTTCCACTCTGGATACAATGGCAATAGTGGTCCCTTCTGTGAAGGGCTTTCAAGCACACCCCAAGTCTCTCGAGGAACTTCCCTCTACTGTAACCCCTTCTCTCACAACTTCCATTTCTCTCTCCAAAATAGGCTTCCTCTCATCACAGCATTTAAACATTCTCAAATCTCTCTTTTGATTACTTAGGTCCCTTCAGTTACTCTCTTTTGCCTTTATAAGAACCAAACTTCTTGAAAGAGTTATATTTATTCATTCACTGCTGTCTGACTCCATCCTCAAGCCCCACTTTACTGAAAACGGTCCTTCAAAACCTAATAGCCTGGCTGGGTTGCAGTGGCTCACACCTATAATCCTAGCACTCTGGGAGGCCGAGGCGGGAGGATCGTTTGAGCTCAGGAGTTGGAGACCAGCCTAAGCAAAAGCAAGACCTTGTCTCTACTAAAAATAGAAATAAATTAGCTGGACAACTAAAAATATAGAAAAAATTAGCCGGGCATGGTGGCACATGCCTATAGTCCCAGCTACTCGGGAGACTGAGGCAGGAGGATCACTTGAGCCCAGGAATTTGAGGTTGCTGTGAGCCAGGCTGATGCCATGGCACTCTAGGCTGGGAAACAGAGTGAGAGACTGTCTCAGAAACAAAACAAAAAACCAAACAAACAAAAAATCCTAATAGCTTTCTTATTGAATCCAACAGACACTATTTAGTCCTTTTTTTCCCCTAACTTCTTTCACTTCTTCCAACTTGCCATGTGACTTTTCATCCCTACCCCCAGTCTCTGCCTGTACTCTTCTCTCCTAAAACACATCTTTACTTGGCCAACAATGACCCACCTTTCAGACTGGAAAGTGAGTCCTACAGGAAGCCTTTCCTGACCCACGGAGGATGCTAATCCCCTGACCCTGCCCCAACATGCTCCCTTAGTATCTACACAACACTGACCGACATGGCCTATTTACCCTTCCACAGCCCTCACTAGAACAAGTTCCATGGGAGCAGGAAATGTATTTTTCTTCTTTATATCCTACATAAGTTTTAACATATTTCTTTATATCTATTAAATATTAAATAAAGCAAAGCAGAAAATAACCCTATAATACTCTGAAATAAAAATAAAAAATAGGCCAGGCATGGTGGCTAACACCTGTAATCCTAGCACTCTGGGAGGCCCAGGCAGGTGGATCGCTCAAGGTCAGGAGTTTGAACCCAGCCGGAACAAGAGCAAGACCCTGTCTCTACTAAAAATAGAAAGAAAATAATTAGCCAACTAAAAATATAGAAAAAATTAGCTGGGCATGGTGGTGCACGCCTGTAGTTCCAGCTACTTGGGAGGCTGAGGCAGGAGGATTGCCTGAGACCAGGAGTTTGAGGCTGCTGTGAGCTAGGCTGATGCCACGGCACTCTAGCCCGGGAAACAGAGTGAGAAACTCTGTCTCAATAAATAAATAAATAAAGGCCGGGCGAGGTGGCTCACGCCTGTAATCCTAGCACTCTGGGAGGCCAAGGCGGGCAGATTGTTCAAGGTCAGGAGTTCGAAACTAGCCTGAGCAAGAGCGAGACCCCATCTCTACTATAAATAGAAAGAAATTAATTGGCCAACTAATATATATAGAAAAATTAGCCAGGCATGGTGGTGCATGCCTGTAGTCCCAGCTACTCAGGAGGCTGAGGCAGAAGGATTGCTTGAGCCCAGGAGTTTGAGGTTGCTGTCAGCTAGGCTGACGCCACAGCACTCACTCTAGCCTGGGCAACAAAGCAAGACTCTGTCTGAAAAAAAATAAATAAATAAAAAATAAAACACTAACTAGGGTCCCCAACTACCTTAGGCCCATAGAAGGCACCATCACCAGAGTTGAGGTCCCAGGGTTCTCCAAATTCCTCCAGAGCCTGTTGAAGGACCTTTAGAGGGAATGAGACAAGAGAGGAATATATTATCTTAGACTTCATGAGCAAGACATCTCTATAGTCCTTGACAAATGACCCCCTCCGCATTTGCCTCTGAGGACCATGGTTACTGTACCCCCCACCCCTTTCCACTAGAGAGTGGTTTATCTGCCTCTGTTTCCCCACTTCCTGCTCACCTGTTCAGCCTGGTCCCAAAGGCAAGGGTCCCCCAGAAAGCCAGAAGGCCGAGTGGACAGTGCCAGGTGGAAGGAGAAGCCAAGGACGGCATAGACAGAGCGGAGGAAATCAAGACAGCTTCGGATCTCTGCTTCCAGCTGGGGGAAGGAAATAAGGGTAGGTGAGCTGTGTACCAGCTAGAGATCTAGGATGATGGTTGTCTGGGGGACACAGGGAGCAAAAACACAGAAAGGCAGAAGAAAACTGGGGGTAGAATGTAGCTCAATTGTAGTATACACAGAGGTCAGGGATGTCGGAGGTTCACAGAGAGAACAGCAGGCGGTCTAGAGAAGGTTTGATGGAGCCAGGGAAGGGCCACCTGATCGGGTGCACAGAAAATGTGAGCATCATCCTGCTGGAAGCACCACAGCCGGGTCAGTCCCCCCAGACCACCAGAGGCTTCGGCTCGGTGTAGGGCCCCGAAGTCAGCCAGTCGCAGGGGCAGCTCCCGCCAGGATCTGGGCCGGTGGGCGAACATCAGGCTGAGATTGGGGTGGGGAGAGGAGGGGTCAGGGCCACAGGGAGAACTAGCCCCTGAAGATTGCGCCCCACCCAATCTGGTTGCCTACTTTATCTGCACTGTCAGCTAACGCCTTCTCCAGCCATAGCACGTCCTCCCACTGAGTCCTGTCTGTCCCGCTCATCACAGCCTGAGTCTTGCCTGGTTTAAAAATCTCAGTAACACAATAAGAGACATCATTTACAGTGCCTCTGTTCTGTGATACCTAGAACCTTAGATAGCAACTTCAAATCCTTGATGTTACTTGCAAGGAGACTAAGGCCTAAAGAGGCATGATGATTTTCTCAAGTTCACGTGGTTAGCTAGAGGGCAGATTCAAGACTCAAATCAGGTGTCCCAGTACTTTTCCCAGGTGCTTTCTGTTACTTTTTAGCGACCCGATTATAACCCTAACCCCAGGAGGACCCAGGGCTCCTGGCTCCCAGCTCACCAGTGTGCAGGGCAGTTCATGGGCTTGAGGGCAAGTGTGTCTGTGGGAAGCCTGGTAGGGTGGTCACTCCGGGAGCTGGCAGGCCTGTCAGAGCCTGGGGGCTGCAGGGCAAACATGTCTTCCCTATAATGCTCCCAGTGCCCTGACTGTTCCCAGAGTTTTGTAGAAAACAGGGTGGGGGTTTTCACCTCTGAGAAACCACGACGAGCATACTCAGCCTGGAGAGGAGGATACAGATATGGAAGGTCAGAGTAACTGTGAAGAGAGGAGGCAGGGTGGCAACTGTGTGACTCTCCTGTGCACTCAGGATCACAGTCACAACCTATTTAATATTAAATACCACATCCCATCTCTATGCTCCCCCACTGCACACCACATAATTATAGTACCTTGCTAAAGGTCACCAGCACTTTACATATTTATATTTATGCTTCCAACCCCCCTCTTTTAACTCAAACACCTTAGCTTCTTCTAGACCCTCAGCACCTTCCTGGTCTTCCTTCCCCTGGATTTAGGTTCCCCTTACCCTGATAAATGCCACCAGTGCATTATACACCCTTGTTCCTCGTGGCAGGAAGAAGCAACTCCCGGGGCTCAGTTCATGGAAGAAGAAGAGCTCCTGTTCCTGGAGTCAGGAATGGCAACAGTCATTTCAAAGGGAGAGGAGTGGATTCTGAACCCAGAAGAAACTGATGGAGCTGCTCAGCCTGTTTAACTAAATCTGCTCCCAACTTCACAGTCATGTTTCTTCCTCTTTCTCCAACCCTTATTACCATCCCTCTCTATCTTCCCAGTCTCTGTACCTTCCCAATGCGCCGGTGGTCCTTCAACTCTGCTTTTTCTCTCCATGCTTCCCAAGCTCTCAGTAACTCTACTGTGGGGAAGGAAATCCCTGATACTCTCTGCAGTGTCTCTGGGGCCCCTGAAGACTTCCACAAAGATGATGAATTCTGTGGGAGGACATAGGGAATCAAAGGGAAGACAAGGACTGAAGGCACCCAACCTCTCTCTCACCTCTCATATAATACTGTCAGTGTAAGCATCACAGGTACACCAGTTGACAATGATCCTGTCTCATCTCTCTCACTCCTTTTTCCACCATCACCACCAGTAGGATGGACACCCCCATCCTCTAGACACGCCTCTTCCATGTTTACAGCCTTGGAGTTGCCCGACTCTTCATTCCAACAAGGTTGGTCAAGCCTAACCTTACTCTGCCACCTCTTTTTCTCCCCATTCTCACCACCACTGCCTGACCAGTACCCCTGTACTTAGTTCCTTCCTCTTCTAATCAATGACTGCATAGGGAAGTAACCATAAGCTCTGGTCAAATGTCAGTCTATCCAGCCCCTTATCAATATCCCATACAGCTACTAGAAAATTCACTTTTCTACACTATATCCTATTCTTGGCCACATGAAATTCAAAAGCCTCTGCTTGTGCTTTCTTTCCTTTTTTTTTTTTTTTGAGACAGAGTCTCCCTTGTTGCCCAGGCTAGAGTGAGTGCCGTGGAGTCAGCCTAGCTCACAGCAACCTCAAACTCCTGGGCTCAAGCAATCCTCCTGCCTCAGCATCCCGAGTAGCTGGGACTACAAGCATGCACCACCATGCCCGGCTAGTGTTTTCTATATATATTAGTTGGTCAATTAATTTCTTTCTATTTATAGTAGAGATGGGGTCTCGCTCTTGCTCAGGCTGGTTTCAAACTCCTGACCTCGAGCAATCTGTCAGCCTCGGCCTCCCAGAGAGCTAGGATTACAGGCGTGAGCCACCGCGCCCGGCCTGCTTGTGCTTTCTTTTAATAATCGTACTAATACAAAACAGCCTACATTTTATAGCACTTTGTAACTTTTCCTCACTTTCTCCTGCATCAGTTGGTTTTCGTTGTCTTTATGAGGTAGATTTACTGGTAGGACAGGAAGGTTTTAATAACCTCATTTTATAGATGGAGAAAATGATTAAGATTTACTGAAGGCTACACACAGAGTGCAGAATGAGGGCTAAGTGCAGATGGCTAGGTTTTCAGTTCAGGGCTTTTTGCTCTAGGCATCTGCCTGTCCCCTTGCTCCTCACTCCTATCCCATCTAGTAACTCATCTTGTCCAGGGACAGTATTTTCACAAAAGGCATGCCCTTGACTTAAGGTGTTCTGTGTCTGTCAAATGGTATTCAACTGTCCCCCTTGACATGCCTCCTCTCTCTCCAGGAGCCTTCCCTATATGACAGAGTTTAGCCTGCTCATGCATTCCTTCCTATTCCATCTGCCTGGACACAGATGTCAGAGGGGATCTGGACTGGCTTCTGGGCCCTGGCAAGGTGTCCAGTATCTGCTATCAAACTGGGAGTTTCTAGAATGTGAGGTCTAAGTATCTTTCTCCTTCTGGATTCTCCCCTTAGGTATTGGAGTAGAGAAGGGGCTGAAAGAAGGTATCATCTTCCCATTCTCCTGCTCACTTCAGTGAAAACAGGAGTCTTAACCTAACTCTGCCCCCACAACTGACCGTTAGCAGCTTCAGTGCCCCAATCTGTCCAGTATGCCGAAGATGGGGGCCCTGGCAAAGATCAACCAATGTGCCACACCTGGGAGAAAGAAGAGGCCAGTTAATGATTTCCAGATTCTTGAGCTTCTAGTTTTCTCCCTTTCATGGCCTTTGGGTGACAGAAAAAGGAGATGAAAAGGAAAGAACTGTTCTATAGGCAGAGAGAGCAATGGCAGATAAAAATCAATTCCTGGTCCCATTTCTTTTTCTAGAACAACACAGATTGCCACCTATCTTCCTTTCCTTATCCCATTCTTGGCCTTCTTCAGTGCTTCCCCATCTCTCTCTATTTCCCTTAATCTTGACAACTCTTACCCATATACTGTTGCTGTTGGACCTCTCACTTTCTTCTCAATTAGGTGAAGCTTAAAGGGGTTATCCTGGAAGAAGGTAGAGGGAAGACTCAAGATAAGTTTTTATTCCTACAAAGATGTCCTGGGAGAGAGCCAACTCTTCCCTCCACCCTACCTTGAAGAGCTGGCGAAGCTGATCCTGGGAAGCCTCTAGCCTCCGGAAGGGTTTAGCAGCAGCTGCAAGTTCCTGGCAAATCTGCTCCAGAGCAGGTAGCTCTGAGCCCCGGATTGTCCTGGAAAGAGAAAAGTTGGTTGCTTGCATCGTATAAGATGCATCAATCACCTGGGTGACACATCTGTTAGCTAGGGGATGAAGTCCTGCCTTTTAGGAAAAAAAGTCCAGAATTATTGGCAAAGGCAAACTCAGAAAACATAAATAGGAAATCAACTTACATATTTTACAGCTGGAGAAAAAGTTCTATGCATGAAGTTAAAAGCAGGGTGTGGGCCGGGCGTGGTGGCTCACACCTGTAATCCTAGCACTCTGGGAGGTCGAGGCAGGATTGCTCAAGGTCAGGTGTTCGAAACCAGCCTGAGCAAGAGCGAGACCCCATCTCTACTATAAATAGAAAGAAATTAATTGGTCTACTAAAAATATATAGAAAAAATTAGCCGGGCATGGTGGTGTATGCCTGTAGTCCCAGCTACTTGGGAGACTGAGGCAGAAGGATCGCATGGGCCCAAGAGTTTGAGGTTGCTGTGAGCTAGGCTAATGCCACGGCACTCACTGTAGCCTGGGCAACAAACTGAGACTCTATCTAAAAATAAATAAATAAATAAAATAAATAAAAGCAGGGTATGGGAATTGGACAAAATTAGAATAATAATGAGAGGATGAAGTAATACTTGAATTCATGAAGGCTAAGAAGGTAAGTTTCAAGCAGAGTTAGCCAGAAGAAGAGGGACATAGACTAGCGGAGAATGTGGTACCAATGTCATAGTTGAGGCCTATGGAAGCCCTCTTCCAGCTTTCTCCTCCAAATTGAACATGCTTGGGACCCCTGAAAAGGGCCTCAGAAACCACCCCAGAATCCTCCTCTTCCTTCCTTCATTACTCACCGATCCTTTCCCAAGAAGAAATCATGGTAAAAGCCACGTTCTGTACTTGGACCTCGGCAGAGAACAGCACCTAAGAATTGTTCAGCTGCTGCCCCTAGGACATGGGTGCTGGAGTGCCAGAAGACCTGGGTTCACAAGAAAGTTTATAAGTTGATAAACTTTTCCCTTAAACCCTGGATCTCTGTTCTCTTTCTCAGAGAAGCTGGTGAGAAAATCAGTATGGCTCTAGAAATAACTATGACAACATGGAGAACCTAAACTTTGGGAGGTGACCACTAAATAGTAAAAGGTTAAAAAAAAAAAAAAAAGACTTCATAAAAAAGAAAGCACAAAGCCAGGATCTTTTCTTCTTCCAGTGCATAGAAACCCCAGCTCTACCCCTCAGTCCTTGGTGCTTCCCAGTCCTGGAGCATAGAAGCAGGAGGCTAGTCAGTCATCTTCTGCTGCTCCTATAACCTTTCAGGGTTTCAGAATAAAATATCTTCTTAAGACAATAGTTCCTTAGGGCTTTTAGTCCCCCCACCCCTTTTATTTTCTATCCCAGTCGTCTAAAGCATTACGACTACTGGATCTGGTCACTATTTACACAAAGATGACATGAAAACTCCATTTTTCTGTATGTTAATAGACAAGGTCTGTATCATCCAAGCTGACATGAAGAGGACAAAGTGGGAAGGTGGCCAGGTTGTCTGCTCAGTTGTGGAAGCCATGTTAGAAGTGAATACATACTACAGATGACTTATAATGTTTATGTACTCAAGAGTTGAGGGGGCTGAACTGGCATATTATTCTTCTGTTTTTCAATATATTATCTCTTCCGTTCACTAGCATAAACATTTGCTTAACAGACCAAAGCTAAGTAAAAACTTTCATCGTCGGCCGGGCGCTGTGGCTCACGCCTGTAATCCTAGCTCTTGGGAGGCCGAGGCGGGCGGATTGCTCAAGGTCAGGAGTTCAAAACCAGCCTGAGCAAGATCGAGACCCCCGTCTCTACTATAAATAGAAAGAAATTAATTGGCCAACTAAAAAATATACAGAAAAAATTAGTCGGGCATGGTGGCACATGTCTGTAGTCTCAGCTACTTGGGAGGCTGAGGCATAAGGATTGCTTGAGCCCAGGAGTTTGAGAGCTGTGAGCTAGGCTGATGCCATGGCACTCACTCTAGCCTGGGCAACAAAGTGAGACTCTGTCTCAAAAAAAAAAAAAGAAACTCACTGCTTTTCCCTCTGGTGAATCGAATGTCAGAAATCTGAGATCAGAATCTGTCTCCAAGGGCCGCTCCAGATCATAAAATTCTCCATTCACTTGAGCAGCCACTGCAGTATCTGCCAGTGTTGAACTTCAGCAGTGGAAGGTGGGGATGAAAAAAAAAGACAGGGTTACAAGACACAGAAAGACAAACATCGCATGTTCTCACTCATATATGGGAGCTAAAAAAGCTGATCTCATGGAGGTGAAGAGTAGATAGTTAACAAGAGGCTGGGAAGGATGGGGAATGAAGAGAAGTTGGCTAATGGGAATAACATATGGTTAGATAGAAGGAATAAGTTCCAGTGTTTGATAGCACAGTAGGGTGACTATAGTTAACAATAATTTATTGTATAGTTGAAAATAGCTAATAGAGTTGACATGTTCCCAATACAAAAGAATGATAAATGTTTGAGGTGATGGACAGCCTAAACACCCTGATTTGATCAATACACATTGTATGCATGTATCAAAATACCGTATGTACCCCATAAATATGTATAATTATGTATCAATAAAAAAGTAATTTAAAAAAAGGGTTACAATCCACAGGGGAAGAGAGAGACTCATCTGTTCGCAACTCTATACTTGCAAAGAGGAAACAAATTACTAGAGCAATAAAAGCTATCACTTCTTTCCCCAATGGAAGGGCAGAGATTCTGATGCAGAAGATAATACAGATAAAAGAAATCTTCAAGAAAAGCTATTTTGATGGGGATGGAATAGGAACAGCAAACCAAGTTTTCTTCCTCTGCTCAGGTGCAGAGGCAGTAAAGGGGAAGGATGTGCCTGGTACCTGATCTTCTGGGCTAGTTGGTAAGGGGTTGTGTTCCATGCCACAGCATCCACTTTCTGGCCTCCAGGAAGCGATATCTTAATAGTTCGGGGTTCCTTCTGTGCCATGCTTGCTAACCTCTTTACCTGAGCAGCCCATAGCTCCTCAAAAAGGCCAAGCCGCTCGGCCAACCAGTGCGGAAGGGTCGGCACAGCTGCCTGTTGGGAAAGATATGTTAGCAGGAAACACAGGTCCCATCATTCCTTTTTTACTATTGGGGAGGATAGGACTTGTGGATATTTAGGTGGCCTTGGTCCTAATCTCTAGTCTTTTTGTTTTGTTTTGTTGAGACAGAGTCTCACTCTGTTGCCTTAGCTAGAGTGCCGTGCTGTCAGCCTAGCTCACAGCAACCTCAAACTCTTGGGCTCAAGCAACCCTTCTGCCTCAGCCCCCCGCAGGCGCCACCATGCCCAGCTAATTTTTTCTATATATAATTGGCTAATTAATTTCTATTTATAGTAGAGACTCTTGCTCAGGCTGGTTTCGAACTCCTGACCTTGAGCGATCCTCCCGCCTCGGCCTCCCAGAGTGCTAGGATTACATGCGTGAGCCACCGCGCCCGGGCCTAGTCTTTTAGGTGATTGGATGATACAAGGCCCTGGGCTGGGGGCCTTACGAAACTCTGCGCTCCCCAGACCGCTGACTCAAGCAGCAAGGCGGCCCTGTCGGGAGACAAGGAGGACTGGGGAGAGGAGTAGTGGCGGGAGGCTGGGTTCAGAGCCTACATACATCCTTTGACTTTGGCTGGGCTGGGTCCGATGCAGTACGGAATTTTTGGGTACCTCACGCACCGTGTGCAGCCCGCAGACCTGTAACCCTGGTAGCCGGAGAAGTTGCCACCTCTGACAGAGACCCATGTTTCTTCAGACCTGTGCCTACATGCTCAAACAGATTATCGCCGCTTCTCCTTCACCAGATTCCTCATTGGCTTCTGGCCCAACAATGTTTCTGTCTATTGGTTCCTACAGCTGCCACTCTAGCCTGGCACCACCTCCAGGAACTCCGCAGGGGTACACCCCACACAGCACCAGCCGCTGTGCAAGTGGTTCCGGCTGTGCAAGTGGTTCCGGCTGACAGGAAAATGGAAACTGTAACACACGCCCGCAATCCTGAGATCCGCAGCGTTTCAGTTGAAACCGTAAAGGAGCAATAAGTTGTCCTGTGGATTTGACGACAGGGGCAGGTTAACTTCTGAAGGCAAGAATGGGAGAAAAACAGACAAGAAATGGTAGTTAGTAATTTCCCTTTATCCATACATTTTCTTTTGCAAGGTCCTTACAGCAGATAGAAAAACGTTAAGACTAAGCATAAACTTTGGAACCAGATAGACCTAGTGTAAATTCTGGATCTGTCCTTAATTATGTAATTTTGGGTAAATTATTTTCTTTAAGCCTTAATTTTTCAGCTGTAAAACGGAAGTCATAATAGTATCACTCTCAATTATGGAGTTTAATTTTATGTAAATCGTCCAGTATAGTGCATGGTTTTTGGTAATGGGCAATGGCAACAAGAAACAATTATGGTAAATAGATATAACAGCTTTAAGGCTGGAGCAAAGAATCTGCAAAGGTCACTTCTTTGAATCCCTTCATATTCATGATGTTTAAAAGAGACTTTGGAGACCTATTAATTTTACAGATGAGGAATTAAAGGTCAGAGACCATAAGTGATTTAAGGTCAAACAGCAAGTGCTAATGTGGCTTCCAAATCCAAGTCTGTACTCTTCCACCACACCATGCTTTTTCTAGTAAGAGTTTACTTCCAATACTCTCCCAGCACCTCAGAAAAAAGTGCCTAACTAGATTAGTTAGCCCTTTGCTCCCTACATAAGCCCTTTGCCTCTCATTCCCATCCCAGCTCTCGACTTCCTTTATTCCTTCTCTTCCCTCTCCCTGCTACATCTAGGACACAAGAGTAGGTATATTTGATTAATTTTGCACAGTAAAAATGGAAATATGGTCAGATTTGTAGTAAAGTATGAAAGGAAATCGATTTGGGGGCCAACTGTCAGGCTCTCAGTAATTCCCATCATTCCCCTCACCTGGGGGTGGGGATGGTTAGAGTTGGTTCTGAAGTTTCAATGGTGAGAGAATCAAGGGTTGTGGAGAAAGAGCTGTCAGAGAAAGCAGTTTAATCTAGGTTTCCAGAGAGGCCAGAAGTTCTGTCTGGGGAGGGCAGTTGATCTGAGTCATAAGCACCACTCTGGATCTTGGCTCCATCTTCTGGTTATGTTAGACACCCTGAAATACAAAGAGAAAAACACAAGACTGTGGGAGAGAAGGATTACTTGTGTGTGTGTGCGCGCGCGTGCGTGTGTGCTTGGGAGAAGCTAGTAAGAATTTTTAAATGGCATTCAGAAAAGGTAATGACTGCATAATTCTCATGACTGTGCGCAAAAAGGGGAGAGGTGTTATATTGTAGGCACTCAATAATTATTGAATCAAGTATGTACCAATAACTGTATTGATTTGAGGCTTCAAAGGATACAGACACTGACAATTTCTTTAGTCATTCTACATTGTCCTCTTTTGTTAGGATAGGGGTGGTGAAATAAGTAGAGTACCCCAAGATGGCAGCTCCCTATTCACCCCTCATTTACCAACTGCTTAGTGTGTGCAGTGAAGTGAGCTGAGTGCTGAGGGGATGCCCACATATCTACTACCACATCATCACCTATGGAACTTGTGTTGCTGTGGAGGAAGGAAGGAATGTCAAGTTCCATCCCATCCACTGTAACAAGCAAGCAAGCAAGAACAAGCTAAGACCAATTCATTAATTAATGGTTCTTCTACAACTTCGACTTGTGGTTAGCCTATGCCTCAGCCTCTGGGACTTTTTAAATCCATTAGATAGCCTGGGAAATATCCTTAAAACTTATATTGTTGTCCACCCTCTCCCCCCAGTCCACCAGAATACTACTGAATACCTACTATGTGCTAAGTGCTATGCTTTTACTAACTCATTTAATTCCCAGAACTGTGCCTAGTAGCTATTTTTATGCTCCCTTAAAACATTTGGAAAATGATCCTCAGAGGAGTCAAGCTTCAATCTACCTGAATCCAAAGCCTGTGTTGTTTATGCTTTGCCATACCGTGTCTCAGGGACCAGATTAGTCAATGTATCATGTTTGGTAGCACAGCTCCTTTTTCCTCTCCAGGGTACAGGACTCAGAGGCTCAAATACTTGTGGCCAAAGAGATCTTTAATATTAAGGGTGAAGAAGTGGGTCCAATAAAAAGCCAACAAGAGAGGTGTCTCCCTACTTTTCTCTACCAGACTAAGGTTGAGGAAAAAGAAATGTGAAGGAAATAATGCTAGATTTCCACAGAAGTGTAGGAAATCCTCAGTAAAGGGTGTCCTAGACCCTTGGTCAAATTTTAGGACATGCTCAGCTTAACTGCACTTTTATTAATAGACACCCAAAGTTGACTAAAATCTGAGTTGAGAAGGTATTGTTTTCATAGCTTTGAACTATATGTAAGTATATTCCCACTTCAAGTTAAATACATTTTCTACTTGTCATTAGGATCAGCACATACCTCCAAATCTTAGCTCCTAGAAGCAAATTTCCTCCTATTTCCTTGCACAGAAAAGGTAGAAAAGGTATTAGAGGTTAAAAAAAGAAAAAAAAAAAAGGAAATCTAATACGGTAAGATACATAAAGGTTTGGGTCACTGCCACCACATGCTCTTGAGGCCCAAAGAAGTAGCCAGGTGCCTAAAGGCACACCAGGTAGTATGAAGGTTAGATTTAAAAAAAAAAATCCTTAGTAACGTAAGTGGAAGATCTAGGATGGGGTCAAGCTTTTACTTTAACTTTGCTTTAAGATGCCACAGTGAGACAGAATGTCTAGCCACATTTGCTGGGTGAATAGAGGGGAAACCCTCCTGCCAGTGTCATGGGGGTAAAATGAACTTTGAAAATAAAGCCTTGGGCTCATTCAAAATCTCTACTAAGATTTCCCTTCCCCAGAACATCTCTTCAATCTGTGGAAGAGAATGAAACAGACACCCTAATCCCCATCTCTTAAACCCTGATTTGTCAAGTCAAGACCAGAGGAAAAATAGAGAAATATCCCAAACACAAGAACCAGTGCAGGGATGTATCAATTCAGGTTTGATGCTGAAGTTTAAAAAAAAAAAAAAAAAAGAGCAAAGTACTTTAAAAGAAAAGGTCTGGCTGTGCCCGGTGGCTCACGCCTGTAATGCACTCTGGGAGGCCGAGGTGGGCAGATCGCTCAAGGTCAGGAGTTCAAGACCAGCCTGAGCAAGAGCGAGACCTCATCTTTACTAAAAATAGAAATTAATTGGCCAACTAAAAAATATAGAAAAAATTAGCTGGGCATGGTGTTGCATGCCTATAGTCCCAGCTACTTGGGAGGCTGAGGCAGGAGGATCACTTGAGCCCAGGAGTTTGAGGTTGCTGTGAGCTAGGCTGATGCCACAGGACTCAACTCTAGCCTGTGCAAGAGTGAGACTTTGTCTCAAAAAAAAAAAAAAAAAAAAAAAGGTCCAAGATACATCTATAGAAGGAAATAGAAGTTGAGTATCCCTTATCTGAAATCTTTGGAACCAGAAGTGTTTCAGATTTTGAATTTTTTCAGATTTTTTTTTTTTTTTTTTTTTTTTTGAGAAAGAGTCTCACTTTGTTGCCCAGGCTAGAGTGAGTGCCGTGGCGTCAGCCTGGCTCACAGCAACCTCAATCTCTGGGGCTCAGCGATCCTACTGCCTCAGCCTCACGAGTAGCTGGGACTACAGGCATGCGCCACCATGCCCGGCTAATTTTTTTGTATATATATTTTTAGTTGGTCAATTAATTTCTATTTTTGGTAGAGACGGGGTCTCGCTCAGGCTGGTTTCGAACTCCTGACCTTGAGCAATCCGCCCGCCTTGGCCTCCCAAAGTGCTAGGATTACAGGCGTGAGCCACCACGCCCGGCCCAAATTTTTAAATACTTGTATTATACTTACGGTTGAGCATCCCTAATCCCAACATCTGAAATCCTCCATGATCATTTCCCTTGTTATGCCGGTGCTCCAAAAGTTTTGGATTTTGGATGCTCAACCTGTATACAACTAAAGTCCACTTCTAAATAACCAAGATTTCAAATTAATCCTTTACTAATCACGATTGGCTATCTCATGTAGGTGCAAAGGATTCCCAGCCAGGGGGATGGGAAAATGGAGGAAGCTGGTGCTGTCCATCTGCTTTCTTTCTACCCATCCCAACTCAATACACCTCAAGAAAAATGTAGGAAATTTCAAGTTCTTTTACTCTTTTCCACAAATTATGTGGCAAAGGACTCAAGTAATTCCCCCCAAATAAGGGGATACAATGGGGACAGGGAAGTTAGTTGCTGAAACATCTAATTTGCCATGAACCCAAAGTGTCCAAGGTGGACTAGTTTAGCCAACACTTGTTTTAGTCACATACAAAAAACGGCACCGTTTTCTCAGTTAGCACTGCAGAGTTCACCAGCCTCTCCACCCAGATCTGTATTCTTAACTTCTGACCCTTGCCTAGGTGTGAACAAATGGAAAGGATAGGAAAAAAAATAAAATAAAAAATGAAATCATAAAGTCCAGTCAGCCCACGTCCCAGGGTTCTTCTGAGTCTGTGGATTCAACCAACCACAGATCAAAAATATTTGGGGAAAAGCCAATAAAAAATAATACAAATTTAAAAAACCAATACAGTATAACAGCATTACATAGCATTTACATTGTATTAGGTATTCTAAGTAGTCTAGAGACAATTTAGAATATACTGGAAGATGTGTGTAGGTTACATACAAATACTACAGTTTTATATAAGGGACTTAATCATCTACAGATTTGGGTATCTGCTGGGGTCCTGTAACCAATCCCCCTTGGAGGACAGCTGTAACTGTAATTATCAGTTTCTAAATAGATCTCATATTATCCCTTTCCTCTCAAACTTGTAACTAAGCAAAAAAGGTTTCTCCTTCCCTTCCCCAGCAATTAGTCAAAAGTAACTTTCATATTTAGTTTTACATTATACTTGCTCCTTTCCTTTAAAACATATGAACTTCTCTCCACTTCTACACGGGGGAAGGGAGAATAGGATGTTTACTTAAGAGCCAATCTCTTACTGGTGTCCCTCTTGTAGCCTTGTCTATGAAGTCTCAATGAGTTATTACTCAGCAATTGTGAACAGCAGCTGACCAGACTTGTCCATACAGTTACTCATGAACAAGTATGAGAAACGCCCCAATACCCCAAAACCCATTCTGATGGTGTTTGTGTTACTATGTCTACATACATGAGGGTTGATAACTCATACCCACTATACAAAATTGGCTTAAATAAAACAACTTGGGCAGAGGAAGTTACGCATTTTCAATAATGTGCCTAGAAAGGCCAACGAGGAAGTCTAACAGCATTGGTTCATTAGGGGTAGAGAGAGGAATGGGGGGGGGGCAAGTCAAGGTCCCTAAGAAGGTACAAGGAAAAAAGGGTGAGCCAGATTCCAGTACAGTGGTACACCCTACGTGCTGGGTGTGTTCCCAGGCCACTGCGATTTCTCACGTGTCTGGTGACACATGTACGTTGTTTCATGTAATCAAGGCTACTATTTAGAGCCTTCTACCCTGCCAGTGACCCAGGCCTGGCCCAGATTCAGTGACTATCCCTCTTTACCCCTTAAAGCCAACATTCCATTTATTAAGCCTCACTAGATTATGAAAAAGGGATGGGGCAAGACAGAATGGTCAAGTGTGGCTTCTGTATGACAGATTACCAATACACAAATAAGAAAGGTAGATAGATGTAGAGAAATAACCAGAAGCATTCCTACTACCCCCGCCTCAATACTATGCTTGCTTTAAAAATGCTTCTTGGCTCACAACTGTACAAACATTTGAAGATGCATACAAATAATTATCCACAGTATATCCCACTCCATTACAAACTACTCCCTGAACATCTGTATCTCACCCCACCCATCACCTCTTTCCAAAATTCAATTTACACAAAGGAACAAACAGAAAACCGACAAGGCCATGAAGATCTCAGAGGTGGCTCGGATTGTTTTCAGTGACCTTGGGTGCAGAAGTCAAAGGGGCCATCTGGATAAGATCAAGATGAGGGGGGAAAAGTCAACCACACAACAAAGGAAACTGTACTTTATTAAATTGGAAACAAAATATTAAGGACAAAGAGATTTAAAAAAACCAAAGGAATGGCTGGAAGAGAGTAAAGTGCAAGTGGTTACCGGGAAGGGACCGAATGAGAGGTCTGTGGCATCTTTTTGTGTGCCTCAGAAACATGCGGACGCACACACCACTCCCTCCCCCACCCCCACGTGCCCTTGAACCAAAAGCCAATACAATTACATCTTCAGAGATATATCCAGGCTTTTCTTTCTGCATTCTGTAGTTGGTTTCATCTTCAACTCTGGACAGTCATGTTGGTTCTCTTTGCTGGAGAAAATTTAGGTTTTCCAACCACAGGCCTGCTTCACAAAGCAGCAGTTTCAGCTCTTGGAGAAGTTCCCTCCTATTTGCACTCACCAGGGGCCCTTGGTCAAAGCCCCAATCTCAAAGAAAAATGTCAAACCTTTAGAACTAGTTATTTTATTAAATGACATTAATACACATTTCAAAAGGATTTCATTGCTGTTGCTTCTAAAGCATGTACTTGTTTTGTTTTCCACACTGAACAAATTTTAATCTTAACAGGTACCCTTGCCCACTTAAAGAAAAAAAAAGGGGGAGGGAAGGGAGGAAAGCAGTAATTTACAGCGGCTTCAAAACAATAACAGCTGAAGCTTAATTCTGCATGAACTGTTAACTTCAGAGTGAATATTCTGCAATTAGGAAGTTTAGCGTATTCACATTATCTAGATAGGTTTGCTGTACCATATTATCACAAACTTTGTATTTCTGGTATTGAAAAGGATAGAAGTCCTATTCTCTGCTCATTTTACCCTCCCTATAATCAAACCAAATTCTATTTACTCTGGACTTTTGAGAGGGCAGAGGGGTATAGGGAAAGAGCTCCTATCTAAGCTGATTGAAGAGTAAGCGTTTTCAAAACACTCAAGGACCCTATTTCTGATACTGTATCACTGAACTTTAGGTGGTACTAGTGTATTCCAAATCCCCACCAAACCAATTCTCTGTCTGTGATTTTTACAGTGAGCACTAAGAACCCTAATAACAACTTCTTGTATTTTGCTTTCATATGAATCAAGTCCTTGCCAGACACACTATGTTATGCTTTCTTTAAAAAATATCTTGTTTATTTTTTTAAACTCAAGTTGAAATACAAAAGTCAGAGCATGGTCACGGAATTTTAAATCACAGACACAGAAAGAATAAAACCCCTCTGTCTCATGTTATGAAAATGAGAATTGTCTTTTTCATTTCACTATATCACAAATATATACATTGTCATCTTCATTTACTGTTGTAGACAGATTTCCTTAAAATTAAAAGCTGACAGTCTCATATGAATACTCACTTCCATCCTAAACAAAAATACTGAGGATTTTGTGGCTTATAAAACAAAACAACACAAAAATACCCTACAAAAAACCAACTCCTTAAAAGTCCATCTTTTAAACTGTACAACAAAGTATTCCTTTCATGTATTAGCCATCATGCTTTTGAGGACAATTACCCTGCCTCAATATTCAGGAAGCTACTTTCCTGACATCTACACATTTTCTGATAAAAACAAATGGTCAGAGAGCCGTTTCAAGTAAACACTACTTTTAGCTTAAACAAAAGCAGCAGAAAGAATTCACATTCTTATTCTAGAATGAAAAACATCCCACTTGATTTCTGCAAAAAAAAAAAAAAAAAAAAAAAAATCTATTTCAGTTTTGGAAGTCAAATTGAATTATTCCTCCCCACCCCAATTTCTGTCTTTCTCTAAACAAATGTCTTAGGACTCATAATATAACTATACTTTCTTTTCTTTGCTACACTATATACCCTATCCCACACGCAAGGTCATGGTATCAGGCATTTTCGTGGGGAGAGTTACAGGGCAGAGAAGCTGGAGAGGTCAAGGAAAGAACAAGCAGCGGGCTTAAGACCAGATATGCGTTAGGAAGAGTAATGACTTGCTGCATCCTACCCACAGAACACAAGGTGAGCCCAAATAAATAACACAGAATAAGTTACACAAAAAGCCCCAACTAATGCACACCTTGTTTAAGCTTTCTCTGAAAAGCTAGTTTATTCTGAGACAAATAAGCACCATCTGTCACTACACCACCCACCCTCACCATCTTTAATATTCCACTGGAGGAATCCAAAGCAACTCCTATACTTCCTATAGTTAGTTCCATACTAACTTGGGAGAAAACATAAGAAACCTGCTGGAATTTCTCCCAAAACTGAACATTGTTTTATTCATCTAGCTGGAGATTATCAGTGTGTACACCTTGGGGTAAGACACTAAATTAAAAAAAAAAAAAAAAAAAGCAGTAAAGCAACATTTGCTCTTCAGTATCTTAGATATAAACACTTCAAAGTACAGTGATTGTCTTTTTCCCAAGTACTAGATGTGGAAATACAAATAAGCCTTTCAGTCCAGGGAAGGAAAGCACTTCTCTCTCATGTAAAATGACTAAGGGCAGAAACATTCTTTATTTCCTGGGGCGAGGGTGGGGAGCATAAAGATTGAATCTTGAATTGTAACAGATTGCTATCTATAGTGTAGGGAAATTCAGATTTACTAGGACCTCCTGTTTCTCTGTAAAGGTATGTATGGTAATACCCATCTTTCTCTAAGACACATCTGAAATACAATATAAAGAAAAATGGTATTGAATCTCCTCTTCTAAAATATCAATAGGGGTGAACTGAAGCAATGGGAATGAAAAATAAAACAAATATTTTCCTTTCTTTAATAGTTATCCTTTGTTGAAAACCACCAACAAACATCACTCACATTAGGGAGGCACCATGGTAAAATTAATGTCTACTTCTTATATTAAAAATGCAGGGGTAATATTTCAATTGCACCTTTGTATCAATAGTCAATGGTAGTAACTGTCTTTCTGGTCACAGTAGAAGTGAAAACCGAGGGAGAAAAAGTCAAAAAAGAAAAGCAGGAGACAAGAGCTTAGTGCAAGGCATGTGAAACTACCTTGAAAATGCTTCCTATTCTTTCATTTATGAAGGATAGGCAGGTTATATAATACCATTAATGGTTCCTTCCGAATTTTATATACTGTAGTCACTCCTTATTCTAACCTTGAAATTATATCAAGCCCAATGTCTTTCATTCCAAGGATAAAGTGAAAAAATTTAATTAGAATCGTGTACCCTCCTCAAAGTTATTGCCTGATAGTACTTTAGAGGAAGAAGCTGATTAAAAAGAAAAAAATTTTAGAAGGGTAAAGAACTCAACTTCAACTTGCCTTTAAAAACAAAATAAAACAAATAAACCTGAAAGGTCCAAGTCTCCAGTATTTCCTCCCTTGTAACATCTCTGGACTGTCAGCAGGGCACAGAGCATACAGGGAAGGGAGCCAAACTGGTTACAGCAATTACTTAGCTGGAGAGAGAAGGGGATAGGAATCCTTCCTTCAATGGACTACCTGATAAGCCAAGCCCAAAAGAAAATCCCAACATCGCACATGTTATTAACTGTACTGATGGAAGTTTTATTTCAAATGTAATAATACTCTTCAATAGATGGGATAAAATATAGTTTTCCTCCCCACTCCCCAAGCCCCCAGCCAAATGAAGTGGCTTGAGTTTACTTTTTTTTTTTTTTAAATACAAACAACTTGGAGAAGGTAGATAAGTGCAGTGGGAGGGAGGACTGGATGGAACAGTGAAATGCAAGCATATATGACTTTTTAATTTGGAAGAGAGGCCTTTCATTATAATAAAAAAATAAAGGAAGGGAAAACAAATAAAAACAACAACAATAATAAACCAAACTTCTACTTCCAATGCTCTCTAAATGCCTTCCCCTTGGTTTCCATCAGTACCTGGGAGGGAAGAATGGGCGTTTTGGTGCAAAGAACGGAGGGCCCCTAACAAAAGGTGGCCTGGGTCTCTTTAAACTGTGAAACGGGTCTCTGCTGAGAAAAGGTTCCCTAGGCCGAAAGTCTGGCCGGGGGTTCCGTAAAATCATACCACTCCGGCTGATGGTGTCTCTGTGTGAGGGACCCAAGGGGGGGCCACTGCTGCTGTTGCTGCCTCCCCCAACTCCTCCTCCATGGGCTGGGCCCAGGTGCTCCAGAGAATGAGAGGGTAGGCTCAAGCTCTCGCGTACACGGCTAAGGCCAGGGCCGTTCAGGTCCCGTTGGGTGGGGCCCCCATGGTCCCTGGGTCCTGGGAGCACCCCGAAATGCTCAGCCAGGGTCCCTTGAAGAAGGGAACTATGGTCCTTGGGAAATACTGCCACAGCCCCTGCCACTCCATGCTCTGCCAGTGCTGGGGTTGGGAAGGGTACAACTCCAGAATGGTCAACAGGAGGTGGTGGAGGGGGAGGAGTAGAAAAGGGGACACCACTCCCACCACTGCTGCTATGTTCCCCGGGGGGTGGAGGAGGGGGTGGGGTAGGGAAAGGAACTCCGCTGTGCTCTCCAGGAGGAGGGGGTGGGGCAGCATGGGCCAGGGCTGCCTCCTTTGTGAAGGGGTTCGAAAGATCCACAGAGGGTAGATGAGTAGGTGCATCTCGAGAGAAGATACCACCATGATCCTTAGGAGGGGCTGGTGGGGCAGATGATGGCCCCACTGGCTCTCTCTGGAAGGGTGTCCCATGTTCCAAGGGGGACGGGGGGAGATGATGCTCAAATGTTGAGTTGAAACTGTTGGAACGAAAGTTGCCGACACTCTCCTGAAACTGGGGTGCCCGTTCCTTGTACGGTGCTGTTTTAAAGCCAGTGAGGCCTCCGCTGCCCCCACCCCCAAGGGATGCCAACTCAGAGGCACTTGAGGGGCCATTGTCAAAAGAGCTGCCTGATGTACTCAGATCAAACCAACCCACCCTTGAAGCCTCACGCCCATGTCCTCTATTTCCCTTCCCAGGAACTCGGATGGACTCTACGGTCTGTATTGGCTCCCCTGACATCCTCCTATTGGATGCATTATGATAACCCAAGGTTTCTATAGGGGCCCCCTTTTCTTCTGTGCTATCAGGCAAGTCTAAGCAGGAGGAGGAGACACGGGTTTCTATGCGGTAGTGCTCTTCTTGCTGCTGCTGATCAGTGGCGGTCAAGCTGGGCTGGGTAAGGTTTGAGAGACTGACACCATCACTTGAAGTGCCCTTGCTGGGGGCCTGGCCAAAATGCTTATCATCTGAGGGCTTGCGTGAGGCGTTTTTAAGCATATTCTTAAATTCAATCGTCGACGTGGTGGAAATGGTGGAGGCCAGGACTTTCTCCACGCCTGAAGTGGGTGGGTGACCCGTGGGAGCGGCAAGGGTATTCTGCGGAGAGAAAAGGGAACGATGTGGGACTGGGTGAGGGGAGTCTGGGTACTGCTTCTGTGGCAAACTGAGATGCCCAGTGGTAGATTGAGACAAGCTATTGTGGTTGGAGTCAGGGGCGAAAAATGAATCATTCTTACTCGGTGATGGTGACTGGTCAGACCCAGGTTCATTCCCTCTTATGTTGAAGGCACCAAATAGCCCAGGGGAAGAAGAGAGACGGTCACAGTTCTCACTAGAGTCCAGGAGGGCCCTTACAGATGGAGGCAAAGCAGACTTTACCCCAAATTCTTGGGCTCTGTGGCTATAACTGGACAGGATTGGCTGGTATTCGGTGGTATCAGAAAGCTTGCTCGATTTCAGGATAGATTTGGCTGGTTTCTTCTCTAGGTTCATCATGGCAGAGGGTGGAGGCCCTGAATACTCAAAATCTCGGTAATCCTCATCTTCTTGGAAAGAAGTATCTGGAAAGAACTTTTCCTGTGAAGAGTCCATCAGGGAAGATGGTCTCTCCATTCCATCAGAAGGCTGCTTATAGGGAGATTCGCTGCCCAGCCCAAAGGGCCGATATGTAGATACGGAATTGGAGAGCTCCCGGGGGTAGGTTTCATCTCTCCCAGGAGGTGGTGATCTTGTACTGCTGGGTGTTGAGGAACCAGGGCTAATGATCTTAGAAAGCAGGGACATAGTATCTACACTGCTGGATGTGGGTTTGTCCATCATCTCATCCTGGGTAGGCGTCCCACTCCGTTCATCCCGTACGGGGGTTCCATCAATGTTGTCGACTGAGGTGCTAGTAGGGCCACGCTGGAATTCTGAGGGATGGCTCTCTGATGGGGCACTGGACCCCAAACTGCTTAGGATGGGGATGTTTAAGTTTAAGCCACTGAAACCAGGATTACCTTTTAAAAAGTTGTGGATCTTCATTTCCAGGCTTGGGGAGGTGGACTCTGACTCCAGCTTTGGCTTGGAGATCTCTGAAGATTGGCATATGGCAACTTCAGTAGGTGGGGCAGCAGGGCTAGTATTGTGGGTACCTGTAAACCCTAGAGAGTTGGACGGTAGTTTAAAAGTAGTGCTTGGGAGCCCTGGGCTTTGCCCAATTGAGGCTTTGCTGGCTGAAGTTGAAGAGACTTCAGAAGTTGATGAATTAGGAGAATAGTTGAAGCTTTTGGGAATAAAAGACTGGGTATTAGAGGACAGATTTCTTCCCTTTATGGTAGAGACTGTGGTGCTGGCTGGGGAGGCTGAAGTGCTCTGTGATGCAGCTTCGCTGGCTGGAACTGGGTTCCCAGTAACACTCTGAAGTAAAGATGACAGGCCTGTAGAAACAAAGATTAGAGGGGTTAAAAAGAACAACTCCCTACCATACAATACAATGTAGGCTAATCAGATATTCTCATTCATTCTGGTGGGAACCTGAAAGACAAAGTATGAAGCCAAAGGGAATCCAGACCAAACAAGCAATGGCTAAAAGTCATAGAAAACACTGGACCTACTTATCAATAAAGAGCAAATAACTGAAATGCTTCCAGTCCAGTCCAGAAACCAGCCCAACATGGCACAACAAAAGGCAACAGGAAGGCAGAGATTTTAATGTCAGAATCATTCACAGTTTAAATAATACAAAGCAGGAAAAGAAAAGAGACAAAATTCTTAAAACACTTTAAACCAGTATTTCTTGAATTTTGATCTGTGGAAATGTTTCTCTACATGCAAAAAGATATTCTGCCCTACTTTTCCAACCTCTACATTTATCTCAAATAAGTTAATGTACACTGTTATTTTTAAGAGGGAGACAGTATATACAAATTTCAGAAATTTATTTGAAGAGGGAAAACTTTTTTCAAGAAGCATCTTTTGTTAAGCTGGTATACCTTTATAGAGAAACAATGTTTTCAACTATTAGTTTTGGTTGTAAAATGTAGTTATAATAAACATTATATATATAAACATACATCAAAAGACAAACCCAGACCACCAGGGGCACTGATCCTTTTACAAGAAAACACACAATCCCCATTTTATAGTGTGGAAAATCCCAGGATGATTGATTAGTCCAGATTAACAATGATAAGAGTCAACCCTATTCACTGATAGCCAAAACCTACTCAGAAGCACTGAGAAAGAATTCTTTGGGGCAAAGGGTGAAGTTCAACAAAGCAAACTGCTATTAGAAAATTAAAAAAATATTTGACAAAGAGATAACACAAGGTCCTATAAACTCAATCATGTTTTGGAAAATTTATCCAAATGTCATTAATGAAAGTTTTTTTTTTTTTGAGACAGAGTCTCGCTTTGTTGCCCAGGCTAGAGTGAGTGCGGTGGCGTCAGCCTAGTTCACAGCAACCTCAAACTCCTGGGCTCAAGCAATTCTACTGCCTCAGCCTCCCGAGTCGCTGGGACCACAGGCATGTACCACCATGCCCGGCTAATTTTTTCTATATATATGTTAGTTGGCCAATTAATTTCTTTCTATTTATAGTAGAGACGGGGTCTCGCTCTTGCTGAGGCTGGTTTCGAACTCCTGATCTCGAGTGATCCGCCCGCCTCGGCCTCCCAGAGTGCTGGGATTACAGGCGTGAGCCACCGCGCCCAGCCATTAATGAGAGTTTTAAATATACATTTCACCCAAATTTATAGCTTTAGTCACCAAATACACTAAAACTGTTTCTAAGCAATGCTATGGTGAAAGAAACAGTACTTCAAATGACACTTGAATTAATGTTTCTTCAAAATTTCAATTTTAACCCAGATTTTCTAAAAGATTTAAGGTCTAAAGAATTTCAAGCCCCATACTGTTCATTTGTGTTTTTTTGAGAAAGGGTATTGCTCTGTTGCCCAGGCTAGAGTACGGTGGCATCATCATAGTTCACTGCAACCTTGAACTCCTGGGCTCCTCCTGCCTTAGCCTCCTGAGTAGCTGGGACTACAGGTTGTGTGCCACACATGCCTGGCTAGTTTTTTTTGTAGACCTGGGGTCTTGCTATGTTGCCCAGGCTGGTCTAGAACTCCTGGCCTCAAGCAATCTTGCCTTGGCCTCTCAAAGGTCTAGGATTACAGGCAAGAACCACTGCGCCTGGACTTTCTGCTATTTGTAATTCATGGTATAATTATAACAACCTGCTTAAAAAGCACTGTGTTGGTATCTGGAGGGTTAGAGAGTAGAGAACAGATAAGCCTTATGAAAAAATGTTAGAAGCAGACAGTGTCATGCACAAAACATAATTAACAAAGCTGAACAGAAAGGTTCAAACGAGGTAGAGATTATAGGTAGGGGAAAACCAAAAAGATATACCACATGGAAAAAAAGATGCCTCTATAAAACATTAGGATACAAAAATGAGACTTTTTAAAAAAAATAAGATTGACCTTTCTGTCTTTAGCTTTGGTTAACACTAAAACACTTAAAACTTAACATACATTAACCTACGTTAAAATCCGGGATGATTAATGCAGCCCCTAGGGGTGTCATGGTGTAGGTGAAAGAGTACTGGACCCTAGTCAAGAAATGGCTTTTAGTCTTGGCTCATCATTGAATAGATAGGTGTGTGACTTTAAGCAGGTCACATCACCTCACTGAGTCTTAGTTTCCTTACCTGAAAAGGAGGGGATGAGACTAGATAATATTTAAAGTTTCTTTCAGTTTTGACATTTTATAATTCTTTAAATGCTGGCCCATAGATGATAAATATGAAAAGAATAATGAATTAACTGTATTATACATTTTATGAATTTGGATTCCTCAGAAATGGAATCCAGGATAAAACTAGAGACAAACATTCACAATTCAAACCCCTCTGGCACACGTCAGTTTACCTTGCAGTGCAGGGGCTGACTGTGTCTGGGTTTTGGAAAGAGCTGACAGAATGCTCTCTGGGGTGATCTCCACTTTTGAGAGGATATTTGCCAGAGGGTTGTGAGATGTTGCTGTGGTAGGTGCAGGTGTTTTCAGGCCACTGGTGAGGTTGCTGGGACTGGTAGGAGTTCCTGGAGAAGGTCTTGATGCAGGACTGACCCCTGGTGGCAGAAATATGAACTCAAGAAAATGCAATTCAAAATGATCTTTCAATTCATGATACTTTCCACTCCAACAAATTTGGTAATGTTTAAAAGGAATTCTTCTGTGACCAATGCACAGATGGTCCATATCATGGCATGCATAAAAACAAACCTGAAAATGAGATTAAGATTTGCTCCTTCTACTTGGAACACCCTTAAAACAAACAAGTATTAAGTTATTTTCACATATATTCATTAGTTTTGAGAGCCCTAATAGAAAGAGACCAGGCAAACTATTTCTTTTTTCTCTACCAAATGGCACCTACACCTCAGAATCCTGTAGGTGCTCAATAAATATTGTTGGCTGGCTGGCTGATCAGAGCCACTGCATAATTCTATGATTGGTAAGTTATTTGCTTTTGAAATGGTCTTTAAAATGAAATTATATAAGAAACTTCCTTTACATTTTAACATTTTAAAATACCAAGTTGATTTTTTTTTTTTTGAGACAGAGTCTTGCTTTGTTGCCTAGGCTAGAGTGAGTGCCATGCGTCAGCCTAGCTCACAGCAACCTCAATCTCCTGGCTCAAGCAATCCTTCTGCCTCAGCCTCCCAAGTAGCTGGGACTACAGGCATGCGCCACCATGCCCGGCTAATTTTTTTATATATATATATCAGTTGGCCAATTAGTTTCTTTCTATTTATAGTAGAGACGGGGTCTCACTCTTGCTCAGGCTGGTTTTGAACTCCTGACCTTGAGCAATCCGCCCGCCTCGGCCTCCCAGAGTGCTAGGATTACAGGCGTGAGCCACCTCGCCCGGCCTCCAAGTTGATTTTTAAAATAGAAAAAAGTATATGTAAAGATAAGAGAAAAACAAACATTTGTATTTAAAAAATATCAAAAAAAGATATTTTTACAAAGAAACATAAATGATAAGCAAATGAAAAAAATTTTAACACATCTTTAATCAAAGAAATGCAAATTAGGCTGGGCACGGTGGCTCACGCCTGTAATCCTAGCACTCTGGAAGGCTGAGACAGGAGGATTGCTCAAGGTCAGAAGTTTGAGACCAGCCTGAGCAAGACCCTTCTCTACTAAAAAGAACAATTAGCTGCACAATTAAAAAAATATATAGAAAAAAAATTAGCCAGGTAGGGTGGCACATGCCTGTAGTCCCAGCTACTCGGGAGGCTGAGGCAGAAGGATTGCTTAAGCTCAGGATTTTGAGGTTGCTGGGAGCCACGCTGATGCCACGGCACTCTAGCCTGGGCAACAGAGCGAGACTCATCTCAAAAAAAAAAAGATATAGATAAATAATGATGTAAAAACTTTCAAGATATACAGTTTACTTTTAAATAGTTGGTTTTGAAACAGTATATGCAGTGTATTTAAATTATTGAAAGAAAAATTATTATAAATATTTATTTAATTCCCTAAAACATTCATATACAAATATGAAAACATTCCCTAAAACATTCCCTAAAATTAAAATTCCCTAAAACATACATATACAAATACTTATAAGGGTAGACACAAGTGATTTCCTTTGGGATAGTAGGATTAAAGATATTTTATTCTCTTTGCTTATTTTCTAATTTTTCTGTGATGACCTTTTATTGCTTTTACTTTCATATTTTTAATTTTAAAAATTAATTAAAAACATCAACAAAACCCCCAGACTAATGGTTCAATTAAAGACATAGAAATTAACTTATCTTTTTTACTGGCCTTACTTACCAGTGTTTTTCATGACTGATGTCAGGCTGCTGAGGATGGAACTGATCTTAGCCAGATCTACATTAGCCAGGTTTGGCAAAGCCAATCCTGGAGAAGGGGATAGAATAGAAGTATTTGCAGGCTTTGGAACAGGTGGGGTTGTTGTCACGGTCACAGGCACTGGGGTACACGGAGAGGCCTTGGAGATACTTTCTGTTGGCTTTGTAGGTACAGAAGTGGATACAGCTGACTTCTCTACAGGTTTTTCCTTTCTGTCCTCGACTGTTTCAACAAAGAAAAGAGATATTACATCCTACTACTTTCCAGATGCTGCTTCCAATATGAAATAACATGTCCTAATATTTCCTGATTTGGGGGTAAAAAAAAACTCCTCTGGAGAAAACTGCCAACCATTTCACTTCATGCTTTTTTAAAAAGTCATACACTTCATAATTTATGACCCCACCGTCAATACCTGCATAAAAGAAATTTCCAGAATTTATTTTGATCTTACTTTGTAATGATTCCTTTGCATCTTCTTAGTACTTAAGTATTAAATTTGTACATTTCTGAAGACATGTTATTATTTGGTATGCATTTGTATTCCATCTTTTGGGAATAATATTTGTCATACATTGTCCTGTTTTTCCTTTTTGATTACCTGAGAACTTTCTGAGAAACAGAAGGTACATACTTCATTGCATTTTCCTTTAGCTTCCTGAAATTGCCCTACTGTGTGATGCAATTAGGCACTAATTTGAAACTGCAATATTTTAACTCTCGATCACCTTTACAATATATTCCTTTCGATGTTTTAAAGTCTATATGGATAGGCCAGACACAGTAGCTCACGCCTGTAATCCTAGCTCTCTGGGAGGCCAAGGTGAGCGGATCATTTGAGCTCAGGAGTTCGAAACCAACCCGAGCAAGAGCGAGACCCCGTCTCTACTATAAATAGAAAGAAATTAATTGGCCAACTAATATATATAGAAAAAATTAGCTGGGCGTGTTAGCGCATGCCTGTAGTCCCAGCTACTCAGGAGGCTGAGGCAGCAGAATTGCTTGAGCCCAGGAGTTTGAGGTTGCTGTGAGCTAGGCTGACGCCACGGCACTCACTCTAGCCTGGGCAAAAAAGCGAGACTCCGTCTCAAAAAAAACACAAAAAAACAAAAAGTCTATATGGATAGACAGTGCATTAAATCTAACAGAAGTCAAACTGTCTGATAAGAATAATTACAAAGGCTGGGAATGTCAGAGAAACAATTCACCAGTTCAGGTTAATTCTGATACTGTGGTTAAATAAACTATGGCTTTGGAATTCTTGACAGTCAGGAGTGACAGAGAATAAGGAATGCCAATATAACTCTCTCTCATCCCCAGTAGTGCTGTTTGATAGAATATAATTTAAGCCATATATGTAAGGTTAATTTTTCTTGAAACCATTTAAAAAGAAACAGATACATTTAATTTTAATAATTTATTTATCTCAGTATATCCCAAATGTTTCATAAATATAAAAATCCCTGGCCGGGCACGGTGGCTCACGCCTGTAATCCTAGCTCTTTGGGAGGCCGAGGCGGAAGGATCGTTTGAGCTCAGGAGTTCGAGACCAGCCTGAGCAAGAGCGAGACCCCATCTCTACTATAAAAAAAAAAATATGGATTCGCCTCGAGGCAGGAATTTAAAATCCAAAGCCTGACCCAAGAGCGAGATCCTGTCTCTACAATAAAATTACGAAAGCAAAGTTATGGCCAATTAATATAATATAGAAAAAATTAGCCAGGCATGGTGCGCATGCCTGTAGTCCCCACTAGCTCCGGAGGCTGAGCATAAGGATATGCCTTGAGCCCGGGAGCTTGAGGTGCTGTGACTAGGCTGACACCACCCAGCACTCACCTCTACTTGGGCAACAAGGCGAGATTCGTCCAATAACATAGTCATGCTATTAGGTATATAAAAGTAAATATAGAGTAATAATAGTAATCAGTATTAGTATACTACGCGAAAATACAGTTTTGACAACTTGAGAAATGATCATTGATATCCCTGTGAGGTAAAAGAGAGTGATTCTTTTTCTTTCGCAGGGTTTGGATTAAAAGCTTAGCTGGTTTTTCTTTTCTTTTTTAATGGGAGAAGTAAAAAAACAATAATTCTTGTAAAATTGAATGACTCTGGTCCTATGGTCAGTCACGAGGCCCTAAATTGAAGAGCATGCTGGCCAATACATGCGCTCAGAAGATCAATAGAATTGAATGGAAAAACAGTTGCAACATGAGGTGGACGTGTGGCAGCCACAGAAACTCTCAAATGCTTAAAAGGGTACAGACATATTTTAAATGCGGATAATTAGATTTTCTTTTTTTTCAGACGTCATTCATAATCAGACTGGTTTACCCTCATAAAGAAACTTTAGGTTCGGTGGTACCTCTGGTCCCAGGTAGGATTTAACAGTATCAACAATTTCATAAGGAAATTCTTATCCCTCCCTCCAACTTCTAGACTTCTTGTGTACTGGGTATAGATAATGACAGTTAATTTGTCACAAAGTGTTTGGTTAAGTGTTAAGCAAGGTATACTCTCGTAATAGAGTCACTGCGTAGCAACATCAACAAAATTGAATTAGTTGCTGCTCTCTTTTCCCTCACATTCGTAAATTGAAATCATATGACTAAAATTATAGAATTAAAGCTTATGAAGCAAAAGATTATCCCCTTATGTGTTCATTGCCTATACGGCTATGCTAGAGCAAGCTTGGACATAAATGAGGTATTTTGTGAAAAGAATGAGCTAAATAACTACTAGCTATTCATTTTGGGTGCACTTATTTTTGTTCCTGTAACCCATACTTAAATTAACACATGCCACAATTTCAATCCTCAAAA